ATCATCATCATCATCATCATCATCATCATCATCATCATCATCATCATCATCCACTGCTACAGAGCTAATAGGATAGACCATGCGTCCCATGCATGGTCTAGGACGCTGGGATCTCTTGGATTTCGTCTTGGTCTTGGAGGACCCAAGCGTGGGAGGTCCCAAGAACCCAAGACATGTGTTATGCGCTTTTGTTCGTTGGAAGAAGCTGCTCTTCAAGAGATGAAAAAAAACGGGGGGGTGAGTTGAAGCCGACCAGCGCAGAATCCAATAAAGGTATGACGGTGGAACGCTGTGGAACTTCCTCGTTCTTGGCACTTGTGACCAGCGCAAGATCCACTGACCTGCAAAACTAGGCTTTGACCCACTGGTGCTCCACTTCCTCACTTGTCTCCAATCCCATGTTCCAGGTTGGGAATGGGATGTGGATTCCTGCTGATTTCTATGTGTACCAGGAATGGACCGATCGATGCAACGTTGCCCATTGGCTTCCACCTACACACCCAGACGAGCTGGTCCTGTTTTCTCCGGATTCGAGTTGGGCTGGACTGCCAACAAAAACAGCCACCGGGTATTGTACCTCTCAATAGATCGGCCTTGACTTGTGTGATTCAACCCCGAGAACCCTCCAAGTAGAAGGTCATGAAAGTCACGTAGACGGTTGATGATATTTCAACATATCCCAGACACTCCATGGGACGGCCATATATGCCTACATTGACCCCCAAAACCACTCCAACTGATCGGCAGTCCTATGGCAGTCCCATGGGTCGTGTCTGGGTATTTCATCCCCCCTAGACTCTACCAGTTCTACGTCTCCAAGCCTTGGAGGTTTGATTCACGCACCTGACCCGGTTTGAAACGGCGAGAGGAGTACCGACTTGACCGGAGTACAGGGACCTCCCTTTGAGTGGGCACTGGGAAGCCTACCTAGACCAGACCATCCAAGGGACTGGAAGAGTTGCATACATGTAATACATGTACCTCACATTACGACCACAAGTAACTATGGAGTGGTTCCACGACCGACCCAGATGTGTGTCACAGCGGAGTTGCCAGTCCTCCCTTTTACGCCCTGCCGCTGCCAGTCATATGCCAGTCCGCCTCAGGCACGGACGCCTATGGCCCAGCACTCCGGTGGGGGATGTCGCGACGGACGGGTGGTCGGACGGGGGGTGGTTTGGATGGTTTGGATGTTTTCCGGACGGCGACCAACGTGTATTTCAAGAACGGGAGGGTGAGGCGTGATGAGAATGAAATCATAACTCTCCAGTGGTTGGGTTGAAACATATTGAAACATAACATAATATATAATACATACTGAATCATATTGAGATACGTGTGATGCCAAACCATTAGAGACTGTATCAATTTCAGTAGATGTTGCAGATGCAAACGGCCCAGCTCTGTACCCAGTGCTTTTGTGTACCCGGCCTAGCTCTGTGGAACAAACACAGGGCCTAGCTGTGTGGAACTCGTTTCGCCGTGTTCACTCAAACGGCCACGGAATCATCACCGTCGACGCTTTCACCACGAAGTCGGAGATAGTCGGACAGTTTCGCAATTTCCGCAGACCCTTTACCATCCGAAACATCATCCATCCTTTACCATCCTTTACCATGGTAGTGTTTCTTCCTTTACGATAGAAGACCCTTTACCATCTACCATCCTGAAAACCATCCTGAAACACTCATCTTCTTGCATGACCCATGCCATGCCACAACTCCCGCAACTCGGGGGTGTTTCTTCCGGAACTCAGCACGCGTGGAACGTGTGGAAAGAATCTGCGGGTCGCCAGGTGCCATGCCCTGGAGTTGGCCCATTGGGGCGCCCCGTTATTGCTGGCCGACGAGTCTGCCTCTTCTCGAAAGCGCCGCAGGTGGGCCAAACGCGGTCTACAAGGCTTTTTTTGTAGAATAGGACTGGAAAAGGTATATCCTTACATGGATGGGTCATTCTCATGGGGTATATAAATGTAATGTATATGTATATAACTCTTCTAGTCCCAGTCGCTTGGTCTGCAACTTCAGGGAATGTTCAATAATTTCCAGCCTCGAGATATGTGTGTACCGGGCTGCCGTGCATGCTTTTGCAGGTTAAATAGGTGGAGATTCAGATGTTGAATGGATTGAACACATTGCCGCTTTCATTCACCTTAAACATTGCACCCTTGCACCCCGTCCAAAATACTCCACGACTGAACAATTTCTGTGCTCCATTGGGTATCGACTGAAGCCAAAAAGGTCAGAATCCCTTGAACTGTTGGAATGGTGCAGAATCAAAGTGGACACAGCAATCATAGGTACATGTTGATCAAGCTTCACAATCCTCAGCGTATATACTGTCTCTAATATCTATATATACTATACAGTACACCCTAGGGCTCCAACCACCTCCTGAGAAGATGGTTGGGGTGGGATTGGGGGGTCTAACCACCTTCTGCGGAGATGGTTGGAGCCCTACAAACATAACATAATATTTAATTGGACAAGCATTGTTTCTAGTGCCATTTGCCTTGTCCAGCTTGGAGTCGGCACTCCATGGGACTGGAGTACTTATACACGCAGTCGGTGGTTCCGCAAATGACCCGTCACTATGGTGAAGACGACCCTTTGCAGTACCTTCATCGCTCTTCGTCTTTTTTCAACGACGCCGTTTTTTCCGTGCGACGCGAGCGCGTCCACCGCGGTTCGGATCTCCAGGCTCGCCGTCACGGACGAGGCTGTGCATCGCATGCGCGCCGCCTACGCGCAGCTGTGGACTCCCCACGTCGCTGAGGACGGGCACGGGGGAGGCGAAGGATCCGGGGGCCAAGGGCGGGCGGTTGGTTTGGAGTGTTCTTTTTCTGGGGTTTACCGGGATGTTTGGAGCAACTGGTCGGGGTGTTCATCATGATCATGATGAGCATCATGAGTTTGGGTGGTTTTTTCTTGTCGGTGTATGTCTTGTGCTGGCAAGGTTAAACTATATAGACTTGCTAGTTCTCGCAATGTTCGACACTGTGGACTCCCTTTGAGTTTGTTTGTCCACCATGGTCTGGTGAATGGGCCACCGTAGGTATGCCAGTCCGAGTGTTTGGGGTATGGCACCGTTCCAGTTGGTGGCCTTGTGTGCGAGTTGACCAGTGGGAGGAAATCAATCTTAGGTGCAGAGCAAATGTCCTTAATGGTGCTTGGTGTTTTGATCAAGAAGTTCAGACAAGGAAGACTAGTGTCCTGACACCAATAACTAGGGTGTGGATGGTTATAGTAAGTTTCTCTAACAAAGAAGACCGGTTCCACAGTGCCTTGTTGAACTTGAGGGTAGGTGAGAATTGGGCCATTGGCCATGTTCGGTAGATGCACACCCACATCAAACAATTATAGTTGTTTGTCGACTTATGTGTATATCGAATCATATCGAATCTAATTAATATATACACACATATATTGAGGGGGTTGCAACAGTTTAAACTTACAAGAGGGCTTCCTAAAGCTGTCCGTAAAGATTTGTCCGTCGTTGATAGGTAGGTTTCTCCCGGTCAGGGCCAGGGTGGCCCCCCCCGGGGCCCCTAGGCCCGTCGAAGTTCTTGTTAAGGAGCTCTTGAAGCAATGCCACACGGCCGCGGTCGCCTGGCAGTTGAGATGGAACGGTCGCGGATGGGACAGTTGTGTGAAAAGAAAAAAGGTCGAAAAGGTACAGCTGACAGGGAAAACATGTACAATGAATTTAGTGTAAGTGGCGCAGGATTCTTCATGAACACTACATCCCTCCAAAGGCAAAACATGTGGTAATTTCCCAAACAGTGTGTCCACACTGAGGGGTTCTTACGGTAGGTGTAAGAGCCCGGGTTCGATCAGGGTGCTCTCTCTCTGAGCTGGGCGTGTTGGCTGTGCAGGCTCGCAGAAAAGTTCTGGTCTGAGATTTCCAAGTGCAATTTCTCTGCGCAGGGTCGTGCAAAACTCTGGCCGCGGGACGGTGCTTGACGGAGGTGCGCTCTCGTTGTGGTGCTGTGCGCATTTTTGGACTTGGTGATAACTTTTCGTGGCAGGCGCAAGGGAAAACTCCTGTTTTGGTGGTCTAAAGTCGACTTATCGTGGCAGGCGCAGGAGATCGGAGCAGTTTCATGTCTATGTGCCGATTTTGTGGCAGGTGCAAGAAACTCCACCCTGAAGACACCACCGGCTCAACTTCACAAGCAACTGCGCAATTGCTTTTACAACTGCCCAGCAAAGCACACGCGATTACATACCAGTTTGGTTTGACATCATCTCTGACTTGTCTACCTTGGAGGTCAAAAAGGAGGGCGAGTCCACCGCCGGCGCACGTTTTGCAGAGAAGGACCGGATGGAGGCGCCACCAGCAGCTGTTCAGGGCGCAGTCCGAGATAGAAGAACTGCACGCTAAGGGGCACCAACGCAGGCTGCAGCACCAACTGTGGCACCTGCAACACAGGCGGCTCAGATCTATGCGCCTTTCCAGTTGGAAGGTGCATCAGTGATCACCCGATCAGCATGCACCATCAAAGCACTGCCTCGCCAGAGGCTCAGTGAGGCGGTTGAAGCCGCATGAGGTACTTTTCGGTTTCAGGAGCACTCATGATGCCCAGGTTGTGCAGGCAAGGCGACAACCAAGTTCAGTGGAAAGAAGTGCAAGCAAAGTCGGCGAAGCTGGTGCGACACGTGGTCTATCAAGTGAATCGTCGACTGGTCTATGCTTCTGTTGGGGGCAGAGATTGCGCT